AGGTTAATTTAGCATGTTAATGCTCGAACACAAGGACGTGGATATTTCCAGTAATGAGTTTAAAACCTGCATCATCCACCGGCCACACAGATCGAATGTTTAATTTGTGAAACACTTTGAGTGAGAGGAATGTGAAAGACATTTTTAGATTTTGGAGGGGTGTGTATTTGTGTTTTCAGGCTCTCTAGCTACAGAAGAACGAAAAAACAAGTTTAAAGTCTTGGGGGAGAATTGTTGAGCCACATAAAGAATGGAATCCACTTCATTATTCTAGCATGCAAGTGTCATAATTACCATGGGAATTATCCATTTAACACCCAAAACATATTTCCGTGAGATCACAGTAAACTTTGACCATCAAATTTAAATCGGTAACTTGGGATGGAAGTTTGCGCCACACACATGAAATGGTCGTACGATGCACAAGATGCTTCAGACCTTTTCCATCCAACTCATGGGGCAACAGTTTATGCACCTTCAGTCCACCAAAAACACTGGCGAAGAAGTGAGAAGGCGGCAACAATAGAGAGCTGTGCAGGCATTCGGGACACGGGGCTTATCGAACTGTCGATTGTCCCCACATCTGTCCACTAGGCAACCAGCTGTGACACTGAGTCACCTCAGAGGATTCTTTCTGGACTCCCTAAACTTTGCTGGACTCTTTGTTGTCCTTTTCAAGTCAAAGATAAGATAAGATAAGTTGTTATTGATTTAGGCAATGCAGCGGCATGAGGTCATAAGTAGCCTACAGATGAACAGATGAGGGAAAAACAGAGAACAAGTAGTCGAGGACGTACAACTAATTTAGAAATGAACAACAAGAGCAATTCAAAACAACAAAGCAATACATGGAACATGGCAGCAAATATAAACAATATACAAATAAACATTAAAAAAACATACCGTCATCGGAGAAGTACGATATACAACGTGGTTACATTGTCCTGACAAGGGACCTGGAAGAAAAGGGGGACAAAGTTGCCCACCCGCTTTACATTCTGCTCCATGTGACATCTTGGATGATCCCAATGTTTTTTTCGTTTCTTTTTTCTAGTCAGTAGTTCTTAAAGCGGTGAACAAGGAAATGTCTGTGATGACACAAAGAAGAATCCTTTATGTGTCATGAATCACAAAATGTTGTGGCAGAACAATCAAGATCCCAGAAGAACATTTGCAACAGAACCAGAAGAATGCCACAACATTTTGTGATTCATGACACATAAAGGATTCTTCTTTATGTCATGTGACATTTCCTTGTTCACCGCTTTAAGAACTACTGAATACTGACTACATTTCCAAGGAACCCACAGATGCTGTAATTACTCTGCATTGAGTCATGATGTGATGATGTGGCGAGAGTTACATCGCAATTAACAAACGCCTCACCTATTTCTACGCCTACTACTGATGACCTGATGCGAAACAGATCCCAGAGTAATAAAGAACGACATAAACTCATCAACGTGTTCATGTTAGCTGGTTTCTATTATAATATGTAGCCTTTTTAAAGCCAGAGACTGAGTCCTCTTTCACCTCTCACGCTGCATAGTACACATCGCTTCCTCAACTTCTCCAAATGTCTCCTGGATTCCGGAAACTTTTATGAATTTATTAGCCTGCGTAGTTAGATCGAAACCTTTTACAGTGTATCTTCCACAGTAATAATCAAGTCAGATTAGCTTCATCTTCTCCAACCTTCAGCCGGTGAGCAACAGTTTACATTTCAGCTGGCAGACAACAGCTAGAACTGAGAACCTTACTTCCACATCTGTCAAGGGACCAAAGGACCAAAGGTGTAAAAATACACCTGTGATATTCATGTAATCATGTATCCTCGGCTCTGTAAAATGTTCAAATGAAAACACGGCTAACTTGTGTTTAGCCCGCCGTCATTGGAATGGTGAAACAGCTGGTTAAACAGATTCAGAAGCCTTTAGATGATGTCATGGAAATTCCTCCTGATGGTGAGAACGCCTCCGGGACCAAAGCTACTCGCAACCATCTGCACTTCAGAAAAAGGTCAGTCGCCTTTTTTAATGACAGAAACCAGCACTTTGATCAAATGATATGACTCACTATTGTCTGCTTTAATCAAAGATGCCTGTACAGGTTCTCTGTACAGAATCTCTCTTTCACCGGGCATGCCCTTGTCTCAAGGTTACCCGCATAATAAAGCCACAGTGTTGTTATCTCTGGGTTGGAGAGCATGTCAACACTGAAAGAAAAGCTCCTAGATAAATGCAGCACGGTGGCGTGAACCTGTTCTTCTTGTCTGCCCCCCCTTATGGCTGTGGGTGACACCCTGGAGTGGGATTCAGTGCATTAGTGGTGTGACCAGATGCCGAGCAGACATTCTTTTGACTGCAAACATGTGAAGACACAGACAGAAAACGTTTTTCCAAAATACATTGTTTCAAAAAAACTGTTGGTAACATGTGAATGACAGTTATTCTGAAAAGGCGGTTTATCTTAAGCTAAATAGCTTGAAAAAATGTCGCTCTGTTGGTGCATGCTTCTTTTGTAAAAATACATTATAATAATATGAATCCAATATATATCTGAAAATATTGAAAACTGACATTAATATGAAAAACTATTACAGATAACATTGCACAACTGAATATTGCCTTTTCACCCAGATGGTTAGAAGAGTCCTGGAGTAGTGTGTCAGTAGAAAAAAAAAACCTCACACAAGTAGCAACTAGATCTTTATCTTCAGGAAATGTAGATGCGCAACGGCTCGGCTGACAAGCAAACAACGCGCGTGCGCCGGTTTGCAATCCTGCACTATTTGTGTGTTTGAATGCAAAAGGAAGAGCGTTGAATTCCACTCGATAAGAATGGGTGCATGTGTTATTTCTGCCGGGCTTCACGCATTGAGTGGACAAACAATCTATTCCAATTAAAGCAAGCTGCAGCCCCGGTGACTGGAGAAGTGGCTTTGCTCCACCGGATCACATCATCCTTTGGAATAAAAAAACGAGATCGGCTCGATGGCGGTTTGGAGGGACGCAGGGCCCCTTATGGAACAGCTCGTGAGGCCTCCGCAGCAGGGTGGGGTGGCCCGGGGAGGGAGGCAAGGCCGTTAATTCCGGTCTGAGCCCCGTTTTACCGCTCTTACTGCATGTGGGCCGAGAAGGCAAATTAATTATGTGGCTGAGATTAATTAGGTGACGTAAAGGGAAATCTGTGACTGTAAAACTTTGGAGGGCTGCACAGCTGACTAGACTAATGGGGCGTTCATGAACTCTTAATAGATGCTGCTCTGATGTTGAGTTGTGTATAAGTAGAGCTCAGAGAGACGGGCGGAAGAACTCGAGGCCAAAGCGGAAAAAGCGGAGAGGATGTGTAAACCCAGCAGAATGGATTTATGCTTCATTAGGGACAACCTGCAGAGGCTTGTGGGTAAGCTCGATATTATTTTGAAGTACATCTTTATCCCCCTTTGTTTAAAGATATATATAATTTTTTATTAACAGTGAATACAAATGCTTGACCGGTCGTGGAAACAAACCAACCCGATTCTGCAGCTCCACTCAGAGCTTTTAAACCTCTTTCAACCTTCATGTTGTTTGGGTTATTGCCATTTTTATGTGCAAACTGTACACAGACAGAAGCTTGTGACTTACTGGCAACCGCACTCTGGACTCCCATATCTTTGCTTTTTTGTGAAATATTGGACAATTTTACCGAAGCTTCTTTTTTTAATGAAACCTTCTCGTAATTTTAGAGCACAAATGTCTCTTTGGTGGTTCTGCTAACAACTCATAGACAATAGAAGTACAATTATGATCGACTACTTATCGATTTTGGTAGGTATAGAAGCAGTAAAGTACAAATACCTCAAAACAACACCCAATAAAATGTATTTAATTACTTGTGAGCACCAATGGTACATGTTAAGAGATTTTTCTTTCTCTGGTTCTTCAAAAAGTCACACTCTCAAAAGTGAGATGCATCGGTCCTTGTTTGACCTAAAGGAACGTGATGACAACGCTGCCTGCCGTTTTCTTCATTTGAAGTAAGGAAGACTGCATTTCTGCGAGTACCTCCAGATGTGACGGCTCCAATCTGAAGAGACCCAAAAGCATCAGAGCATCAACAGCAGAACATGACAGCTGGGTCTTGTTGCTGCTCTCGCCAATTGATGAGGGCGACTCGTTGACAATCACATACGGCAAAGATCAGCTTTCCCCTGCGCCTGCTGATAGCTGTTGAAAGTCTTACTCGACACATTCCCCAATAAAAACACAGCAGATGAGGGAAAATCAGCTCTGCTCTCTGAGGGCACAAAGAATGAGAGCGACGAAAAGAGGCAAATATTGCTTTGGTCTGCAAGGGTCAATGAGGTTAACGTCCTGTCCGCTGAGTCCCAGTCAGCCCCCCCTCGAGTTAATCCCGGTCACAGTTTTTTTCTAGAGCTTAATGTATTTGAGACAGTGCTGCTGATATTTCAAAGTTGCAAGATTTGAATAAATAATCCCTTGCCTCTCTTTAAAAAAAATAAAAAAATGAGTGAGTTAAGTGGGCTGCGTCCTTGGGCATAAACAACTTCATCTTTTAATTTCTCACGGTTTCACATTGAGCTTGGATCTGGCTTTACCTATCTGCCCACGCTCCATTCTCTTATCCCAATTTAGCACGCTGCAATTTACTTTAAATGTTTGTGCATAAACCCTGACAATTAAAACTTCCGGTCAGTGGTTGGAGGATGACAGTTATTTAGGCGAGCTTCCCGGCAGCACGACTGTTTCAGTTAGGTAACTGACAGAAGGTGGTCAAACAGGAAATTCATGAAAGCTGATTCATGCGACACGAAGTAAGAAGTCAAAAAAGTGTGATCCGGTAATGCAGGGAAATGGGTGCAGCCGTCTGTCACCGGAGCATAAATCATACCCTTTGTTACGATCTGACGACAAACTGCTAGCGCAGACAGGTAACTTAATGGATGAATAAAAATAGATAAACAAAGACGAAGAAAAAAAACACAAAAAAATCAAACGTTCTAAAAATAAAATACATATTTTTTACTGTATTAATTCTTCACTTGAAAAAAAACTATTTACAGTACACCGCATCCGCAAATATATGATGTGAGCAGAGCATTTCTTACATCAAGTCTTACACAATGAGACATTTGAGTAACAAAAAGAAAAAATCAGACTCATGCCCGAAAGTGACTGAGAAAATCATAGCAGCAGGTCCTTCAAGAACTTAATGCAGTTCAACGTCAACAATGTCCTCTCATATGCAGCGAAACGTGAGGGCATGACAATATTAAACTGCCCGGCTCTTATATTTATGCAACACACTAACTGGCACAGTCTAAAGTCTGAATGTCATCGTAGGTCTGTTTATAACACAGAGAAAATGCACTTTTGACAAGGAAAATACAAAAACATGCACGATCAGAGAGCTGCAGTCTGCCCAGATATTTGGCTCGATCGTACTCCGGTTACAAACGTACTAGTACAAAAATAGACATGGTTTAAATGTACATTAGCTTTGTCTCTTCATCTACACCGTTAGTGAGGAAAACTGATCCCCACGTGACTACCGAGAGTCAGATGTTCATTTTCCAGTTGAATGTTCGGCCCACCATCTCAAAGAACTTCCTATTGGGTTCCTGGAAGAACTGGTAGAGTTTTTGCAGGATGTCGGGCGCAACGTGGGGGTGAGCCCTGCCCTTTGTGTCGTGTAAACACCGCTCTCGCCCGTGGTCTCTCAAACAGTAGAATCCTTTTGTTTTGTTGAAGTAGAAATTCGAAGCGTTTATCTGAGGTTCCAGCTCCAAGAACCTCTCCACCTTTTTCATCTCGGGGAAAGGGTCCCTGATCAGCTCATCCCCGTCCACCACGTGGAGGTTCTCCAGCGGGAAGTACTGCAGCCAGTTCTGCATGTGAAGGTAGTACAGGCTGCGATTGAGAGCCTTGTACCCCAGGTTGATCGCGCCGTCCTTAACCAGAAGGGACTCGACGGGCTGGTAGTGCTTGTGCTTCTGGAGGCGGTTGTAAAACACCTGGGTGTAGTCCGACAGCACCCTCTCCGTGGGGTCTCTGAGGATGAGCAGCAGCTTGGTGTCGGGGCTCACCTGGTGGATTCGTTTGGGTACCTTGCTGGAGGTGAAGTAGGCCGGCGTCTTCTCTACGGTGCGCTGGTCGGGGAAGGCGTAGGGCATCTGGCTGAGATACCAGGGCAAGCCCCTCTGGAAGTGGGTCTCCCAGTCGAAGAAGTGCACCTCGTTCTGAGCCGCCGCCACCGAGCTGTGCAGACTGAGCATCTCTATCAGCGCCCGCGTCCCCCCCTTCCTCACGCCGATGATTATGATATGAGGGAACTGTTGGAGGGTGCCGTTCGGGTGGCCGACGGTCCCGTTGTCGGTGGGCGACGAGGCGGGTGGGGGAGGAGGGGGCCTGGAGGGGACGGGGGGAGACTGCATCGCAAAGAGCAGCAGCCCGAGGAGCACGGCTGCCATGAGGGAGGTCCTGACCCTGGAGGATTTCAGCCTGGCGAAAGCACCAAAACTGTATCCCACATTGAAAGAGCAGCTGCCCGAGCACGACGGTCCGATAGAGAAGAAAAAAGAAGAAGAAGAAAAAAAAAATCGCCTCTTCTCTGCCACGGGTGGAAACTGCAGGGGAAGAAAAACAGATGTGATAATGAGACACCAAGCAAACATCTGGCGCAGGGAGAAAATACACAATCCCTCACACATGTTTAAACTAAATTTATTGTGAATAAGTGTATGGCTCAAAGGGAGAGCAGAACATTGCATAATAAAAAAAACTAAATTATTTAATTAAACTAAACTGTATACAGCAATATCTGTACGGAAAAAAATATATTTTGAGTATTAATGTTTAAGTAATATCATTATAAACAAACTTGTTTTTTTTCTTTCAATTATTTAGCATAGCAATACAGCGTATCCAATTCATTTTTAGCATAAAAAGTCACCACGAAACGGAATTTAGTGGTCAATGCAAATAATTGAGTTCACCTGAGTTGAACAACTGCTTTATAATAATAAATAACAAACGTTCAAATATGTACTTTTGTCCGTTTACAGGCTACAAGAACGATGCAGGTGTGGTGATCATTGGACAATAAAACTATAGATAAGACGTGTGCGAGCACGTTTCCTCCTCGGCCGTCTCGCCTCCTCGCGCTCGCATGTGACTCACGTCGGTGTAACGTTATGGTGTTTGACGTAGATAAAAAAGCCGCGTGCCGCTGGTGTCTTACCTTTATTTTATTTATTTTTTAACTAAAAGCCTCTCGACTCGACACCGATTTCATGTCGAGGAGCTGTGAAGGATCCGGTGTCTCCGCTGCGTCCCTCCGGTCTGTTCCGCCTCCGACAGCGAGGACCAACTTCACCGGAGCGCCTCCTCGCGAGCTGTGCGCCGCGAGCCGCACCGTCCCCGCGCTTCCTTTCGGCTGTCAGATGGGCAGAAGGCCGCGCCCACATTACGGTAGTGGGGCCACGCCCCCTCCCCAGCCCCCCCCCCCATGTGACTCACGTCCGTGTAACGTTACGGTGTTTGACGTAGATAAAAAAGCTGCTGGTAGGTGTGATGCAACTTTAGAAATGTGACCAAAGACCAACTGAGTTGTGATTATATGTGAATTAGAAGAGCAGGAAAAGGCTCAAATACAGGGAGATCTTTTAGATTAGAGGCCGTTTAACCGTGAAGCCCTAAAATATTCAAATGGAGCAGTCTGACTTGCTCTTTACACCCATTTGTCGCCCATACAGAGCCTGCGCCTTCTCAGGGTTCGGGTTGAAAAAGGCTTTTCAGCAGAGTCTCCAGGAGTCCTCCCTTCGCGCCGCTTTCAGGGGGAATCGATGAAAGAGACAGACGAGTTATTCATCCCGTGCATTCTTCTCCTTCTTTGTCCGCAGTGCGAGTGCATCCGTGGGTAGTCGCTCAGTCAACGTTGGACAATCCCACCGCCTGTTGAGACGCATTTTTGAACATTTCACAGAGTGGAGCTGTGATGCTAATGGTTCCAGCACCAGCAGGCTCCCAAATATCCAATTCTCAACTGCAGATTCACTGATGTTAAGTTTTGTTTTGTAATTTCCTCTGACTCACATTTTGCATGTACAGCCAGCGTGAGAGACTTTCAGTGACTTCACGGAGTCGATGAGTAAGTGTTACGTCACTGAGGTCAGAAACCAGTGTGTGATGAGCTGTTTGTGACGCAACATGTGTTCATAATCATGGTACGTTCATGCGGTGAGTAAATTACGGCCGGATTCGGATACATAGTCAATTACAGTGTATACTCTGCTTTCTATGCTGACATTGAGCCAAAAGCAAAGAAGGCTTACAGGTTTTTTTCATCTATCTGCTTTTACCCATCTGGTTGCAAAAATGCTTTCTGCAGTGTAGGTCGTGGTGGCGAAGGCCAGTCTGCATTAAAGCGAACTCTCAACGTGTACAAGAAGCGGGAGGTTTGGAAAGGTCAACCCCACTTCTTAAAATATATCCTTTCCCGTGGAAAAGAATGCAAACGCCTGTTCTTTACTTCTTCTGTTCACAGAGTAAACGCTGATACGGCCGAGAGGCCCCCCCCCCCCTACTCCCACACGATGATTTTCAGATGAAGTTTAGTAATCCTCCCATTCTGCCCTGGTGTCTCCTAAAGAAATGTAAATTCAGCGGAGTCGTGGAGCCGGCTCGTACAACATAACCCCGCTTTGAGGATCATCAGAAGCGTCCGACTGCATTAGCATGACAATGGTACAAAATCTCAGACCACAAACACCCTCGACGCAACCTCAGCGACTTCCTGCGCCCTTGAGCTCTGAGCAGGAGGAAAAACCAAAATAGCTTCTCACATATCCTACTGCATGTTTTATCTTTAAAGTGCTGAGAACTCAATTTTAACAAACACGTTTGTAAATAGGGTTTCATGACTTCTTCACAGTTAAATACAGTGTGTGACCCAAACATAAACCTTGCAGTGATCAGCGTGCTGCAAAACATTTTCTTTGGCGCTTGTGTCAAACTGTGCATGGTATTAAAAACAGGTTTTATCTGCCTCTGGCAGGCTTAACAGATTCAAAATGGGTAAAAAGATTGTTATGGCTCTGAACGATATACCTGCCCCGTGTGTGTCTGTGTGTCGTGTCTCTGATTCTAGTCGTTCTTGCAAAAGTACTGTACCGGAAAATGTGTATTTGGTGTATTTACCAACTCTCACAATACGGTTTTTGATGCCATATTTACATGTTTAGCAAAGGACACATTTTTTAATCTCTTATTTATAGACAACTTCCTCTAATTTAAACTGCTGTGATTCTCTTTTGGATTCATATAGACATAATTATGGCGATACGCATGGTGGACTTCAAATCAAATACTTATATTTAGAAAAGGATCCCTGATACATTTGCCAATCCTGCAGGCTCCACAGTTGAAACATTAGACTGCTTTTACATTTATTATTCTTGTTTTCATCTACTTTCTTATTATTTGTTTTCATAGCTACCCCTTCAGGCTATAAACGGTAATATTGTTCAGCGTTGGTTCTACCAAATTTATACTTTTGAGTCGGAAATTTGAATTTCTTGTGATGCTCATTCAGTTATTCTTCATTTGATTCGTGAGTATTCAATACATTGGGCTTCTTTGTCGTGCCAAACACCTGAGGACGAACATCAGCCATTCCTCCACTCGGTGGCGGTTATTTTCTATCGCCTCTTTCCGCAGTTTAATTATGAGCCGAATAATTGTCCCACGGCAGGTCACACCGGCTTCCGCTGTTTAATCAAAAACTTTGTTCGAGTGGGTTCGGCGTGGGATCATTAATGCAATTGTGTGTGGTTGTTTGACAACGTGATGGCAAACTGCACAATATTAGTAACAACAATCAATGATCTGATCACAAGTTGCCAGCTGACAGGTTGAAACAGAGAACGCTACAAAAAAAACTTCTGAAAGTGTTTCTCTAATAGATTAAATGAGCATGTTTTCAATTGTGAAAATTGGTTAAATTGGTCAAAAAGAAAGTGTCTTCCTTTATTTTAGAGCAAAATATTGCAGGAGAAGCGAGAAAACCCAGATTATGGTGTTTGGACAATGAAAACTGTAAAATTGCAGACAAGAAAACCGTTCATTATTTCTCGAAAGGAAAATGCAGTAAAAAAAAAACTATTATTCCTACAACGTACAGACAGAGTCAACAGAAAAAAAGATCAAGACAAAGCCGGCGTCACATTCATAAATAAAAACATTGAAACATTACAACCACCATATGATCATTTCTGGATTGTGTTCAACTTTCACATATCTTCAAAATACTTTGGTGGTAAACTTATTACAGATATCTTTAGTGTAATTGTTGCGTCATAACTTTATAACTCGTTCCCCAGGGGCCTCGCGGTGTTCACTACACGGAAAGAGTCCCAAACCAAAACTGAAGCACCAGTCCGAGTGTCTTGACCAGAAAACCACCTACAGTTTGTAAACAAATCAGCCGGCCGGCAGGACGAAGTCACTCAGATCACATCCGGTTGCAAAGTGAAGAACCGGTTCACTAACTGATGAGACGACGTCTCAACCGACGCGCTTAACAAAACAACAGGAACATGAGCACAACTTCTCACTGTGCCGCGTGACCTCATCTCACTTTGTCATTATGCATCAGCCTGAGCTTCACAAAGTGTGAAACTGTCAGATGAAGCGGAATGGGGGGGGGGGAGAAGGGATGGAGGGGGGATTGAACTCATCAAGCCCGGTCATGCACAGTGAAGTTACGTCGTACCAGGAAAGCAACAGTGGTGAATTGTGCTGCCGTACGGACGCATGCAGACAATAGGAAACCTCTTTTTACGTATTTTCACTGACGAGCACGTTGAATCCACATAATCAGCTTTATTCTGCCTCTTCGCTCAGATGGACTCTTTTCATTGGATAACGATGCTTCTGCATTTCTTATTTCACCTCCCCGGGAAGGCAAACCATTTAACAATTAAACAAATAGATCCTGAAACAAGTTGAAACAAACATCTTCTGTTTGTTGACTTTTTTGGCACAAAGGCAGAGGAAGCAGTCGCTCTGTAGCAGTAAAGCGTCCTTTTCACCCGGGAGCTGAAGTGCTGAAGATGCTGCATTTTTACAGTTCTGCAGGATGCCGGCGGGGGGGGGGGGGGGGGGGGGGGGGGGTATTTTTAAACCTTCCCGGGGAGGGGAAAAGGGAAAAACCCCCTCCCTTGGTTGGGAAATTGGGGGGGAATTTTGGGCCCGGGGGGGGGGGGAAACCCTTTGGAAAGGGCTCTCTTTTCGGGGAGCTTCGCCCAAGGGGCTTAAAAAAGGGGGAAAATGACGGTGGGGGATTAACCCTGCTCCCAACTCTCTGTACGTCCTCCAAGCCCTCTGCCCCCCCCAGTCTCCCCCCTCTCCTCCCCCGTCCCTCGTTTCTCCAAAGAGGCCCCATCTTCTCAGACAACAAGAAGGCTCGCCGAGCGCGGTTTTGATCATCCTGCCATGCGCCGCTTTGTGACAGGTCTCAGGCACAGATATTTAGTTTCCCACTACTCAGGAGATTAGCAGGAGAAACTTCTGACACAGCTGCAGATGAAATATTTGTACTACAATGCAATCAGCCCTCACCCCGTCCTGCACATGAAAGAATAATGCTTGGAAGTATTTGTTGGTGCTTGTGCCTTTTACATTTTTCATCTTCTCTTATTTTTTGCTGGTATTTATGGTTCTCTTCTCGGAGGCAGACCAAGATGTGCTAGGGGGTCTAATTCAGCTGGCTTTTTCTTCACAAAAGTAAGTTTTAAAGCGTATGAAAAGAAGGATTAGCGGCTGTTTGGTGGGGCGAATGTTTTGGAAAATCCATTCGAGTGCATTCGAGAAGTCTCCCCAATCTCAAGAAAGAAGCTCAAGAAGCAGGTCTTACATCTGGGCATTTGTTGGCACTGAAAGCATAGAAAGCATTTTGTATTTCCTATCCAGCTTTGAGCGTTCTAGGTGTTTTTGACCCGTGAGAATGTGCTGTCATTCTGGTATGGAGTCTGAAATAAATTCATGTCCACTTGAAAGGGAACTACTTTTGCGGCTTTTGAACTCATGAATCAGATGTTACTGTATACGAAACACATTTGTGTGGATTTAAATGTGGAATACATCAGCACGTTGTGATGTTTTTATTTCTCCAAAGAGCGGATCAATCAACAGCAGCCACAACGGAGTTAGTGACCGTCTGGAAACCCCTTTAAAGCAGAATATGGCACCATGGTGAGAACTGGATACTGACTGATATGTCATTTGATCACTGTATTAGTTTAATCTAAGTGTTTGATACCACAGTACAGATGACTCCTTCTGTTCAGAGGAGCAACCACAGACTGGGCCGGTTGCAGGGAATCAATGTACCCAGTCAACCCTTATAATCAAAACGAATTGAATCAAT